CGTGAGCCGATTCAGCCGTCGGTACGGTTGTCCGCGTCGATGTAATACGGTTACCTGCGACGTAAGTCTCCGTAAGACCTAATGAAAGGTCGTGCCTTGTAGTATGGCACGTACCCCCATGAGTTAGGGTAACGAATCCCCTTTCCTTGGCTAATGAAAGATGTGAACACGTGGGTATTATGTCGTGATGTGATTAGGAGACGTGACAGAATAATTGATTTATGTTCATACTTTAACTATACCTCCTTTACATTATTATTATTGATGATATATGTGCATAGTGGTGAGCACGCTTTTCATCTTGTGCTCATCCCCACCTGCTCTTCACCGATGCAGGTTAGGCAGGAGCTGGGTGACGAGAAGAGGCGAGTGGGTCGGTCATGCATTTATTGCTTCTATTTGAATAAATAAAACTTTATGAACCTTTATGTTGAGACTTGCTTAAACCTGTTTCCAAAACTTATGACTTGTTTGTTTTTGGAAAACTTGTGGAACCCTCGATTATTGATTATGATGATGTGGTTTGATTATTCATGTTGAGTATTAAGTTTCGTATGATATGTTTTGGTTAATGAAAACCATTTGTGAAAACCGGGTAATGAATCCCCGTGGGCCCAGATAAGACTTGGGTTATGAAAATGTTGTTTCACACCCATTAAGTTTCGAAAATGATCTCGAAAAAATTTGTACTGATTTTTGGAAAGTCTGGAATTTCTGTAAAATCAAAGTGGGGTGTTACAGTTTGGTATCGGAGCCAGTCTACGTTTCTGTAGACTGGCACATATGTGATTATGTGTTTAGACCTTGTGTTATGACCACTCGTCTCCGTCACTCTGCGCTGCTTAAGATTTGTTTTGTTTAAGTATTAAGGAAAATACTGGATATGTAAATGGTACACATGTGGTAATGAGACTACTTGTGGTGTAATTGTTATTTTTGGGGCTTAGGACCGACCACCTTGATTTAATCGAACTCTAGTGTTTATTGGCGAACTCTAGACTTCTGTAATTATGATTATCTTGTTTGTTTTGTGTTAACCTTGTCCGGCTTATTCAATGTAGAATGCTTTCGATATCCCATGTGCCTGTTTTTGCTTTATGTGATACTGGTGCTACCCATTCGTTTATCTCATCTCGTTGTTTGGAGACCTTATCTATTAGCATGGTGAGTCCTTGTGATCCTCTCGAGGTTAGTCTAGCCTCGGGAAAAATTATTATCTCTGATTCAGTGGTTCGCAATCTTCCTATCTGTATTGGTGGTCGAGTTCTGGAGGCCGACGTCTATGTTATTGATATGCGAGACTTTGACGTGATCTTGGGCATGGACTGGCTCACCCGTTACCGAGCCGATATCCGGTGCCAGGAGCGCAAAGTCACCCTCTATCCCGTTTCTGATCAGCCCGTTGTGTTCTTTTGGGTGAGTTCGAGGACTGTGCCTCGGGTCATCTCTTCAAGCTAGGAAGAGTCTTTCCAAGGGTAGCTGTCAAGGCTATCTTGTTTCCATGGTATCCGAAGTTGTTGATGAGCGGGTGCCCGAGAGAGTATCTATTGTTTGCGAGTACCTCAACGTCTTTCCTAATGACTTACCCGGAGGACCGCCTGACCGCCAGGTGGAGTTCACTATTGACCTAATTCCAGGAGCCGACCCCGTTTCTAAGGCCCCTTACCGTATGGCGCCGAAGGAGCTTCAAGAGCTCAAGGCCCAGATCCAGGAGTTGCTTAAGCTCGGTTTTATTCATTCGAGTGTCTCGCTGTGGGGTGCGCCCGTCCTATTCGTGAAGAAGAAAGATGGATCTATGCGCATGTGCATTGACTATCGGGAGTTGAATGCCCTTACAGTCAAGAACAAATACCCCCTTCCCCGTATTGAGGACCTTTTCGACCAGCTGAGAGGGGCCAGCGTCTTCTCAAAGATTGATTTGCGTTCTGGCTATCATCAGCTGAAGATCCGGGAGTCGGATATTTCCAAGACTGCTTTCCATACCCGCTATGGCCACTATGAGTTCGTAGTCATGTCGTTCGGGCTCAGCAATGCCCCAGCCGTTTTCATGGACCTTATGAATAGGGTCTTTCATCCTTTCCTGCACCAGTTCGTCATTGTGTTCATCGACGACATTCTGGTCTATTCCCGAGATATCGATCAGCACAAGGAGCATCTGAGGATTGTGCTGGAGACTCTTCGCCGCGAGAAGTTGTATGCTAAGTTCTCAAAGTGCGAATTTTGGCTGAACCGTGTGGCATTCCTTGGCCACATTGTGACAGCTCGAGGCATTGAGGTGGATCCCAGCAAGATTGAGGCAGTGAGCAAATGGGATACGCCAAGAAGTGCTGCAGATGTTCGTAGTTTCTTGGGGTTAGCAGGATACTACAGGAGGTTTATCGAGGGCTTCTCGAAGATAGCCCAGCCACTGACCAACCTTACGAAGAAGGCTGTGATATTTGATTGGAGTCCTCAGTGCGAGGAGAGTTTCCAGGAGTTGAAGAGGAGACTCACTACCGCGCCTGTCCTATCTATACCCGACCCTACTTTGGAGTTCACCATCTATAGTGATGCTTCGAAGATGGGTTTGGGATGTGTCCTTATGCAGCAGGGGAAAGTCGTGGCCTATGCTTCGAGGCAGCTGAAGCCTCACGAACAGAACTACCCCACTCATGATCTTGAGTTAGCTGCAGTTGTCCACGCCTTGAAGATTTGGCGGCACTACCTTTATGGAGGCAAGTGTGAGATCTTTACCGACCACAAGAGCCTGAAGTACATTTTCACTCAGAAGGAGCTGAACATGAGGCAGCGTAGATGGTTGGAGCTGGTCAAGGACTACGACTGCACCATTAGCTATCACCCTGGGAAAGCTAATATCGTAGTCGATGCCCTTAGTCGGAGGAGTTATGGCCAGCTATCTTGCTTGTTTACTGGGCAGGATGTCCTTCTTCGGGAGTTCGAGCGATTGCAGCTAGAGGCAGTGGAGTCGACTTCAGCAGCCGGGGGCGTATTGGCCTCTTTGGTTTTGGGACCGACTCTTCGAGAGAGGATAGTCGCCGAGCAGCCGAATGACCGTTTCCTATGCCAGATGAGAGAGTTGTCAGCAGCTGGTAGAGTTGGTGGATTCGCGGTCGCATCTGATGGGGCTTTGGTCTTCGAGGGTAGACTTTGTGTTCCGAGGGTGTGGGAACTGCGAAGGGAGATTTTGAGAGAGGCCCATAGTGCCCCGTACACCATCCATCCTGGTAGCACGAAGATGTATCAGGACCTGAGGAAGTCTTTCTGGTGGCGAGGCATGAAGAGGCAGGTAGCAAAGTTTGTGGATGGGTGCCTGGTGTGTCAGCAAGTGAAGGTTGAGCACCAGAAACCGAGAGGGTTGTTGCAGCCCCTTGAGGTTCCCATGTGGAAGTGGGAGTGCATCACCATAGATTTCTTAGTGGGACTGCCGAAGTCGAGGGGCGGGTATAATTCGATTTGGGTGATAGTGGATCGCCTTACGAAGTCTGCCCATTTTCTGCCAGTCCGGACGACCATGAAGGCGAGTGATTACGCCGAGAAGACATTGTTAAGATTCATGGGGTGCCCGTGGAGATTGTTTCAGATCGAGATGCCAAGTTCACATCCCAGTTCTGGAGGACGTTGCACCGAGCCATGGGGACGAAGTTGGAGTTCAGTACAGCCTTTCACCCCGAGACAGATGGTCAGTCGGAGCGTACGATCCAGTACTTGGAGGATATCTTGAGGGCTGTGGTCTTGGACCGGAGCTTGACTTGGGAGTATGCCCTTCTGCTAGTCTAGCTGACCTACAACAACAACTACCACTCTTCGATCAAGATGGCCCCGTACGAGGCTTTGTACGGACATAAGGTCCGGACTCCTTTGTATTGGGATGAGGTCTGAGAGAGGAGGATTACGGGCCCAGATTTTGTTCGAAGTACTGCTGCGACAGTTGAGGAGATTCGGAGGACTATCAAGTCTGCCCAAGAGAGACAGAAGGTCTATGCCGACCGGGAGAGGCAAGAGCATGTTTATGCAGTGGGAGATCATGTCTTCTTGAAGGTTTCACCCATGAGAGTTGTGATTCGCTTCGGGAAGAAGGGGAAACTTAGACCTTGCTATATCGGGCCGTTCGAGATCCTCGATCATGTCGGGAACTTAGCGTATCGGCTGGCTTTACCACTAGACTTGTCGGGTGTGCACGACGTGTTCCATGTCTCGATGCTTCGAAAATATGTGCATAACCCCGATCATGTGGTGGACTTCGGCGACCTGCAGGTCGAGCGAGACCTTACCTACGAGGAGGTACCGGCAGTCATTTTGGGCCGGAAGGTCCACCAGGTGAGGAACCGGGCAGTGAGCTTAGTGAAGGTGCAGTGGAGCCGACACGATGAGACTGAGTTGACTTGGAAGAGGGAGGACGATATTAGGAGGCGTTATCCGAACTTTGAGTTCTAAGTTCTCCTTTGTATTTTATCGCTTTCTAGTCTTATTTTCGAATTCCGAGGATGAAATTCTTTGTAAGGTGGGTAGACTGTAACGCCCTGTTTGAATTAGAATTATTTGAGATTATTTATTGGTTTATTATTGCCATTATTATTATTATTATTATTATTATTATTA